CCCTTACCTGTAACAGCTTTCTTCTTCTGATATGTAGTCTCATTTTGCTGTGTTTCTGGCTGAAGCAAAAAGAAGCCAACTAAAGAAAGATGCTGATTTAAGTTCTTTTCCTCCTCCATGTACTTGTTTCAGTGTCTCAAGTCACAGAAGGTCCTATCCTAGCACCCACTTCAGGAACTGGTGTTTTTAAGATGGGGCGATTTCAGGTAAGACAGTCACTGCTGGGGGATTGTGTATATAATAAAAAAGGGATTCCCAATTTGGGAGGAGTGTATATATAATAAAATTATTATCTACCTTTTGGGACCTAATTGCCATCAATGATATATTTCTTTTATATAAAGCACTTTTTAGCTCTTTATCATTTTCCCCTCTTAAAAACAATACATGCTAATTAAAGAAAATAAAGAATATTTAGAACAGTAGAGAAACAGTAGATAGTCATACTGTCTGCCCATCCTTCCACCCCACCCCCCTGGGATTACTTTTTGGGGTGTGTTTCTTTCTGTTCCTTTTGCTCTGTACATGTGTATATCTAAAATGGGCCCTGCTTCTCCTCTGAATGATATTGATACTTTGTAGCTTTTTGCCATCTAGTAGTAGGTTTTATCTAACCATTTTCCTATTGTCAGTCATTAGGTGGTTTCTGATTTTTCCAACATAGTAAGTAAAGTAACAGTGAACATCTTTGTATATAAAAACATTTTCCATGTTTAGGATAATTTTCTTAGGGTTAATTTCCAAAGTGAAAATACTGAGTCATCATCAAATAATACCATCTAATTGTATTTTCCCATTTGGGAAACAAGTGAACATGTTCTCGCTTAGTACATAGGGCTATACAAGCTTTGAAAATCTTTTTTTTTTTCTTTTTCTGTTTTCACACCTGCTTTCTTATTATTCTCATGATAACAATTGAAGTTGGGGATATTAGGTCATGTTTTTCTCATTTGTAAACTGTTTCTCAGAGTTTGTCGCCGCCCTGAGTTTGTATTTATAATACATTGTCGAACTAGGACAACGATCTAGATCCTTCTTTTAGCAGCAGCTAGTTGTGCTGATTTTTGAAGCTTAGCTGGCATTTAACATTTATTGGGTTTAATCTTTGAAGTTTTTCTTGTTCACAAGCAACCTTCAATATTCCATGACCTGTTGTTGTTTATATTTTCATTAAGATGTAATCTGAGTCCTGTGCACAGCATGAGATATGAAAGTAAATAATTTACCTAGTTAGCTTAGCCAGCCACTCAGAATCTACATCTCATCTGTACATCTCAGTATAGATATGTCATGCTCTACAGTGAATGGTATTCAGTTTATTTTCACAGTCAGAGATGGAGGGGCTATGTAAACAATCAGCCTACTCAGACTGGGAAATAAAGTGATTCACTTTTGGTCTCTTTCCATCAGGTTTCAGTTGCAATGGATGATCCCCAGAAAGAGGGTAAAAATAAGTCAGAAGATGTAAAGTCTGTTCATTTTGAATCCAGTACTTCAGAGTCCTCAGTGCTATCAAGCAGTAGTCCAGAGAGTACCCTGGTGAAGCCAGAGCCCAATGGGATAGCCGTCCGTGGCGTCTCTTCAGATATGCCGGATAGCGCCCATAAAACTCCTGCCTCAGAAGCAACGTCAGAAACTGGGCAGCCTACCAAGGTTGGACGTTTTCAGGTGACAGCTACAGCAAGCAAAGTCGGTCGTTTCTCCGTTTCAAGAACCGAAGACGAGATTACTGAGGCAAAGAAGGAGGGACCAGTGGTATCTCCTCCTTTTCTGGATTTGGGACATGATGTTCTTCCTGCTGTGATACCAAAGAAAGAGAAGCCCGAACTGTCAGAGGCTTCACATCTGAACGGGCCGTCCTCTGACCTGGAGGCTGCCTTCCTCGGTCGGGATGTGGACGATGGCTCAGGGAGTCCGCACTCCCCGCAGCTGAGCTCAAAGAGCCTCCCTGCCCAGGGCCTGAGTTATTCCTTCAACTCCTCTTACATGAGCAGCGACAATGAATCAGATATTGAAGATGAGGACTTGAAGTTAGAGCTGCGGCGGCTACGAGAAAAGTACGTGCGTTTCTCCTGTGAAAGGGTACCAGCAGAGCCGTGTGATGGCTCCCAGAGCTAGAGGGTGGGGTGTACAAGAGCTGCCTGGCTGACGGTAGTTCTTACAGAGCTGCTTCAGCACCTTGGCGTTACTCGTAGCATGTTATTGTTGTCAGTGGCTCTTTTGCATTGTGAACCTCATCATAGCTATTACTGGTCTACCAGATGGATCTGGTAATGATACTGGGATACGGATTACGATAGCAGGTTTTCTTGGTCACGTTTGATGAACTGGGTCCGATTCGCAAGTTCAGTATTCCTGTGTAGAGCTTCCAAGTCAGGAAATCTCTTTCTCCTAACACATCACCAACCATTTGTGGTTGGCTAGGAGCTTGCTGGAATTTGGCTTGGGTAACGGAGGCCAGCAAGAGGAGCTGACACTAGAATCACAAGGTGACAGCAGTTAGATTCAGTACATTTGGGGGAAGGATTCACTGGTGAGTAAATACGTGAATGGAGGTTAAATAATGTTGTTAATTCTTGTTTGAACAAAGGTGGTTATACTATTTTTGAATTATGCTTGATTATCTTTCATAGACATCTTAAAGAGATTCAAGACCTGCAGAGTCGCCAGAAGCATGAAATTGAATCTTTGTACACCAAACTGGGCAAGGTTCCTCCTGCCGTCATCATTCCCCCAGCTGCCCCGCTTGCAGGGAGAAGAAGGCGACCCACCAAAAGCAAAGGCAGCAAGTCTGGTCGCAGCAGTTCCTTGGGGAATAAAAGCCCTGGACCAGGTCAGCCATGGCTGCCCCATCTTATGTTTTTGTCTCCAAATGTGTATATAACCTATGGAACATTTGTTAAATTTCGAAGGCGTTTGACTTCCCTAATAGGCTTGCTTCCTTGCCTTGTCTACTCCCTGTATTTATAGAACGTCTTTTGAGTTTATGGAAGACAGGTCAGTGCTACGACCTATTCCTTTGTAATCCATATTGCCTCCGTTTATAGTTGTTGATGAGGATAAAACACTTAGCTTTGCCTGCTAACTCGTGGAGCTCACATTTCACCAAGCTCATAGGCAGTTGAGAGAAAATTCATTGTTCTCTGTTAGTAAAGTCCAGGTAGATTCTTCCTTTTTAATGAATGAATTGGTCATAATTACAACAGGGATGAATGTAAATTTCATGTAAGTATTTGGGTATGTCATATGATAATTTCCTTGGCTAAAGTTTTTATTTATCTGTATTGGAATAAAGAACTTGCTAGTGTTTATAATCAAAAAAATAGTTAAATCATAATCTCTGGAAATGAATTGTAGTTTGCCTATTTTTTATTATGTTAGCGAGTTTTTGCCCTTTGGTGAAATTATGGTAATGTTAACAGATAACTAGTTGAAAAGTAAAAGCAGCTAAAATAAGTTTATACCTCATACTTGCTCTTCAGTCCTAATATAAATATTTTGGAAAGCAGTTGTAAACTTAACAGCTTTCCATTCTCTGGAAGCTTTCAGAGACCCCAACCTTTTCTCTAGCACATGAGAACCAATTCGTTAGGAGACATGTGATGATAAGCAATAGCAGCTAATTCAGGTTCTGATCCCAATTTTGACCTTCTTTTTGCGTGGACTTCTAGTCCACTAGCTACTAAGGAATAGAGAAGTTAGTCCATTTCAGGCCACCTGGCTAATGATTGAAAGCCACCTTTTAAGAATAATTTTAAATATGCATTACTCTCCAATCCCTTACATCATTTTCGACATCTCTTTTGTACTTGATCTGACACATGTACAGGAAAGACTAAGCAGAGACTGTCTCTGGAACCAATTTGTATCATGATCCAACTCAGTGTTTATAAGAGGGTAAAAAAGGCAATGCTGAGATTGCAAAATGGAATTCTCTCATGTCCACTGCACGTGCTAGTTTTCTTACTCAGCTCAGACTTGGAATCATCCAAGTTGTCTACGGCTCAGCATCTTCAGGGATGGGGTCCTGTAGTCCTGTTGCCTGTTGAGTCTCCTGCTACATCTCACTTCCCCTCCTGTCAGTGAGACCCTTGCTCTTTGATCTCCTATAGGTTTTGGCCCATTATTAATCTGTCAGTGGGACACATTGGAGGAAGAACAGTGCCTGTCAGGTGCGGTTGGAAGGCTGTGCACGTTCCCTCATGCCGCTGTGTCTTTTGTCAGGTAACCTGTCTGGCCAGAGTGCAGCTTCCATCTTGCACCCGCAGCAGACCCTCCCCGCTCCTGGCAACATCCCAGAGATGGGGCAGAATCAGCTGTTACAGCCCCTTAAGCCATCACCCTCCAGTGACAACCTGTATTCAGCCTTCACCAGTGATGGTGCCATTTCAGTACCAAGCCTTTCTGCTCCAGGTCAAGGTAAGAAATCAGAGCAGCCAGCATCTTCCAAGAACATTAAAATGGACACATTGCCATATGTGGGACAAAAGCCTGGTGAGGAACCTGTTCAGGTGGATTGGAGGAGCAGCTGACCAGGAACCAGCCGCACGGTACCCACATGGTTCTTTGGGCTGTAAGGGGAGTGGGTGGGATCACTGCTCCCATCGGGTGGAAATAGGTTTTTTCAAGGGACTACAGTAAAAAGTGACACCTGTGCCCTATGAAGCCTCAGTGAGATGAGTGACTCCTTTGGGATTTGGAGCTTATGCTTTAATACTAGACTGGGATTTCCTGGACCACATTCTAAGGAGTTTTAGCCATTTCTGAAAGTTAATGCATTTGATTAGCCAGTGTAGACTTCTAAAATTTCTAAGTATGAGAGACACATACTAAAATGAATTCAAGTCCATTCAAGTTTTTACCCGTAATCTACTTCCCAAATATAGGTTAATAAACAAATGTTTAATGAAATGATCACTCAGAACATTCCTGTAGAGGAAAGACCTTCTGGTAACATTAGATCTAGAAGCCGAAAGGAGCTGGGCATGTGGGTGGAGAAGAATGAAATCAGGGATCTAGATAGTGAAGTAGGTGCTTGCGCCACAGGAGTTAGGCGTTAGGCCGCCTCCCAGCAGGGTGAGTGTCCTTGCGGGAGGCGCTCGGTCTAGGCAGGTGGCGGGACTGCGGCCTGACCCTCCTCCCCCACGTCCGGGCCTGTCCTGGAAGCTCGTTCCTCTGTGTGCTGTCCTAGCGCATCTCACTCTCCAGCCTCGGGTTCTAACGTCTCGTAGCTGTGTTCTGTCTCTTCTCTACCCCGTTCTTCCCTGTTCTTCCCCTCTCACAGGCTGTGCGAAGTTTAACTGTGCGTCTGAGCAGGTGACGTTCAAACCTGGTGGCAGGAGGACCCGATTTCTGAGTACGCCCTGCTTGGCTCTTTGTGTGTAACACCTTTACTCCTTCCTTGTCCTTGTGTTTCTGCCGCTTGGATCTGTTGTTTCATGCAGTCCATGTGCATTTGTCTTGGCTGAACTACTATTACCCTCAGAAGTTTGGGTCTCTGTTAATTATGATAAAAGATGTAGAAATAACAATAGGTTTCTGTAAACGTCAGAATAAGTTTCTGGAAGAATTGCCTCTTCCTAGGCCCATGACAGAGGGCACGGGGTCGCTCAGCATAGCGAAATCTGGGCTCACAGTCCTGCTCAGCACTGCCCCCTGCTGTGGCATTAGAAGCCACAGAAAGCATCTTGGCCACTGGTACCGGGGAAAAGTTACACCCTATTTTTCTCTTCTTCTTCAGAGTAGGTTGAAATCTTTTTTTTTTCCCTCAATTAAGCATAACCATCTATCAATTGAGAAGATGCTAGAATCTCTTCATTGGATGTTTTCACCACCACCACCCTGTAACTCCATAAAATCAGAATTTCAGAAAGGGTTTCAGTGTAGTTCTTCTTATAAGGCTTACTAAAGACCGAAGGGCCAGCACCTGCAAGCAAAAATGGGCTTTTTAACAAGAATGCTGGGATTTCTCAGCTTTCTTCCCCTGAACAGGGCACAATAGCAAGTCACCCAACCTCTCCAGCCCATCTCCCCATGTGTGGAATGCAGGTGGTCCTACACAAATCAGATAAGATCACACGCACAAGACATTATTTCTCTCTGATTAAACCATACCTCCCTGGCACGTAGCAGGTAGTCGGTAAACGTATGTTGAAATAAAAATTTTTTAAACAAAAATAAGGCTCAAGTAGAAAACCTTTGTTAGAGTTCAGGTAAACATCTTCTCTGTTAAGGCCTCAAACTTCTGATGTGGTTATTGAAGTGCTTTTTAAATGCATGTGCTCGGACCATCGTTGTTTCTGAGTATGGTTCGGAGGTCCTTGGGCACTAGTCTAAGGCTGTTTAACAAAGAGGGAGGTGGAAGGCTTACCCAATTTAGTAGGGGTTTTTTTGTGGTACGCGGGCCTCTCACTGTTGTGGCGTCTCCCGTTGCGGGGCACAGGCTCCGGATGTGCAGGCTCAGCGGCCATGGCTCACGGGCCCAGCCGCTCCGCGGCATGTGGAATCTTCCCAGACCGGGGCACGAACCCGTGTCCCCTGCATCGGCAGGCGGACTCTCAACCACTGCGCCACCAGGGAAGCCCCAATTTGGTAGGTTTTTGAGCACTGAGATCAGTAGCTTTTCTGGCAAGGCTAGGCTGGACCAAGAATGTTAGCTCCTTGACACTTAAGTAAGCATTTAATTTATATGTCCAGCTAGAAAGAGGAAAAGACATTAACAGTAGGAGACAAGTGTTTTGAAATAAAATGTGATGTGTCAGGCCTGTGTTATATAGCCTGAAATGTCTAAGAGGGAAGAAAGAGAACCAAGGCTTTTTTGTGAAGGAAGTGTAGTGTGACAGGTACCACTTCAGATTAAATAATTCAGTAAATTCTCATCACACTCTTAAAGGTAGGTGGTATTACACTGTTGTTCAGGTGAAAGTTATTAGAAGTATTAAATTTTATTATTTCCTTTTGGGTCTTAAAATTAGAGGCCCTACCTCTGTTGAAGGCATGTCAGTGTACATCACGTAAGCCTTGACGAACAAATCACAAGAGGCAGGTTTAAAGCAGATCCGGAGGCCCATGGTTAGGACTCGGCGGTTTCACTGCCGTGGCCCCAGGTTCAATCCCTGGTCAGGGAACTAAGATCCCATCCTGGAAGCCGCTCAGCGAGGCCAAAAAAAAAAAAAAAAGCAAAAAAAGCAAACATGGAAAGAGAACCAGGGCTCACAGGCATGGGGTCTTAACTAGCCTCTGATGCTTTACTCTATGCTTTCAGAATAGATAATGGTTTGGAAGCATGGCTTGGCTTAATGCTTTATTTATGTTCAAAAGTTGCTTGTTTTCCACATATTTCTAAAGATTTTTCTAGGAGGTAAAGGGTTAGTATTGTATGTCTAGGATGTGGAAATAGAGTATTAGCCAATTTAAATTAAAACTGTAACAATGGTACCATCTGTCAGCCTCCTGTGGTAGAATTGTTAATGCATTTAATTGAGTGCTTTGTTAACAACCCGGCAAGAGAAGCAGGAGCGGGGGGACAGGGTCGGTGGAGAGACTGCTTGGGTGTTTGAAATTCAAGCAGTGAGACCCAGAGGGAGACTGGGGTTCATCCCGAACCTTGGTGCAGGGCATCGCTCTTCTAGGTAGAAAGACTGGGTGTGGAAACTCACTTCTGCCAGCCGGGAACCAGCAGCCAGGAGGGTCCATCATACAGAATGGCATCTGTGGCAGGGCTCCCGGGTCCCTCCAGTCTGTCTCCCCTCCTGCTTTCTCTTGCTGGGACTTTGTGTGCTGTTTGGAGATTCTAAATATTTTACATTGATGTTTCCTTATCTTTAACACATTGCTCTTTCTTTGTGCTTCAGGGAAGATGGTGAAAAAAGTCTGTCCTTGCAACCAGCTCTGTAGTAATTATCCTTTCTTTCTGTTACTTTCGGCCCTTGATTGCAAAGCCTGTTGCCGTTGAGGTCTTTGAATCCCGAAGCCTCATGACTTTCAGACTCCCAGCTCCCATCCGGCTAGTCCTGCACCCTTTTCTGGTGTCATCTTTAACATGCTCAGTTGCTGCCACTGGCTGTCCTTCCAGATTCAAGGTCGCCTCACAGTGCTCTCATTGACAGCCCCGTGCCCCGGCTCTGTGACAGCTGTGGGTGGAGGCGCCTGCGGATGTGCGTAGGGGCCTCAGGGAGGCCTGGCTCCTTGGGAGAGAGTCCTGTAGTCAGAAACGTGTGCCCGGCGCTGTGTGCCCACGGGGATTCAGCCAGGACCGCGGCCTGCGAGAGCCTGGGCCCTCACGTCGCAGTGGGAGTGGATGCTGGGCTGCTGAGGGCAGGGACACTCCGTGTAGGCAGGAGGCTTCTCGTGAGAGCGAGGACAGTTCAGCAGCCCAGCAGCCACCGAGAGGCCCCTCCAGAAAACTCTGTGCTTGGGAGACTGGGCAGTAAGCTGTGGCTCGTAGGCGTTGTTACTAGGATCCAGCGGTGGGGTGGGGATGGGATGGGGGCATGTATTACGGCAGGAGAACATCAGAAAGTGAATTTCTGGTGGTAAAGGATGCACGACTTTTAGAGCTTTCAGCAGAGCTGAAGAAGGTTCAAAGGATAGTCATGTTCTCTCAGGAAGGCAAGCAGCGTTCTCAGAAATACCTGCTTACCAGTGCTCTTCAGCAGTCTAGTGCTACAGTGGGCCAGACGCACTCCCCCGTTCCCCTGGGCTTTATTCGTCAAGTCAGCTCTTCCTGGGAGTTAATTCCTGGTCAGAAAGGGATGTGTGTGTTTGTCTGTGTCCTTTAATGGGAAAGCTATTTTCAGAAGCCAGAATGAGAAGGTGAACTGTGAGGCTGACTCTCCCCCGTGGTGTAAACCCCACATTCAGAATCCAGTGTCGTGTAACAAGATGAGGCCATAAAGGGGCCTCAGCATCGCGGCGACTGGCATGAGACCAGAGGGTGTGGTTCTAGCACGAGCAGTTTGTGGCCAGCAGTGCTCAGCTCCGCAAGCTTCTGAATTTGGCTTTTGACAGCTCTGCTCACTTGTGATTATGTTGTTTTCATCGTCTCGCTCACCATCAAGCTCGCGAAGCAGCTGTCATTCAAGGAGGATGGCAGTCCTCATGCATGTGATGTGCTTGCTCTGGGGATCTCGCCATTAGCACGACTGCCATCCTCGCTGCCTGCGCTTCCCGCCCCAGCGCTGTCTCACTGCTGCTGTTCGAGGAACGCTGTGTCCTGTGCTTTTCCACTTTGCACCTGGGCCTCCTGTTCCACAGGGAGCTTACTCTTCCCTTTACACGGTGTGTGTGGTAGCAGCCCCCGTGGCTCTGGCGGGCACTGAGAGAGTGAGCTGACAACACGTGCAGTCGGCCTGGCTTGTCTTGCCTTGGTGATAAGAAGCACGTGCCCCTCGCACTCTGCAGCTTCACCTCAGAATAGCTGTTCCTGTAGGACACGTGTGCTCGGGTGTGCCATTCCCGGGTGGCAGGGTGCAAACCAGCCTCGAGAGCAGCAGTGGATTACAGGGGGCTTCTACATGGCAGAGTTGCTTCCAGTGTGCTGCTGTGCTCTGGTGCTGCTTGGATCTTGAAAGCAGGAAGATGCATGCATTTAAATATCTAGCCCTGGCAGTATTTGGGGATCTTAAGTCCTAATGGCTCACAGCCTACCCCAACAGCTTTCATTTATTCTGCAGCAAATGTGAGATCTGGTAAGAAAGTGGGGGGTGATGGGAAAACACAGGACGTGACTCTTCTTTCCCTCTTCCCTAAAACTCGCCTCTTCGAATAATCGCCAGTGTGCCCTCCAGCAGAGCCGAAATCAGGCAGGACACAGACTCCTTTCTTTCTCATCAAACCGTAGAAATAGAATTCCTTCATCACAGCCCCGAAGCGTCCTCCCCCTCCGCACCCCTGCCTCAGCCAGGCGCGCATGAGAGTGCTTGCTCTTCTGGGGAGTGGGGGCCGTAGAGGCCTTGAAGCAGTGGAACTGAGGTCATCTTTGGGAAGCCACGCCTTCCTGGAGCTGACAGACTCAGGCACACCGCCGAGAGCCTTCCTCCTGTAGAGAGCCTTCCTCCTGAGCGCTCCTGGTTCTTTACTCAGAGGAAGTGGGGAGACGCTGAAGCCTTAACTCTCGCAAGTTTGCGTTTGCAGCTCATGTTTATGGGTCCAGGTGAAAAAGGTTTCCGACCAGAGCACGCTTTCTCTTGTCGTCCATTTCTGTGAAAGAATGGCTGAAGACCATGATGGTCCCACATGGTTTGGGAGCCCATCTTTCCTGGGGCTTGTCTTTGCGTTCCTTTAACTCCTCCATGAACCCTGCCCAGTGCTCCAGGGATCCCCTTCTCTTGCCCTGTTCTGCAGCATTCTAGAGCAGCCAGCCTCACTGGCCACACCGCAGAGCTCTCCTCTCCCCCAGGGGATGCTGGGCGTAGAGGCCCAGCAGCGAGTGTCTGCGCTCCAGGATGCCATGAGAATGGGCAGAAAGGAGGTCCCCGCCCTCTGTGCCTTCCCTCATCCGGAGTTGTTCAGCCTCGTCTGGAGCTCCTGAAGAGAACCTGTTTTCATTACCCTGTGATGCCAGAGCATTTGGCTACATAAGAACCTTGGAACCTTCCTTTTCTTGCATGGCTTCCTACTTCATCCTCCCCATTCCGTGGTTTGCTGCCATTCATCATTCTCGGAAGTTTTTCCTCTCCCTGAAATTACAACCCAAGCCTCTTTTAATGGTGGTACTCTGTTTCTTCTTCTGACTTTAGGGACCAGCAGCACAAACACCGTCGGGGGAACAGTGAACAGCCAGGCCGCCCAGGCTCAGCCTCCTGCCATGACGTCCAGCAGGAAGGGCACGTTCACAGATGACCTGCACAAGTTGGTCGACAACTGGGCCCGAGATGCCATGAATCTCTCAGGCAGGAGAGGAAGCAAAGGACACATGAGTTACGAGGTCAGTCTGCCCCTTTTGCCATTTTCCGGATCCATCAGCGTCTCAGCGAGCACGCGTATCGCTCATGTGAGGGACCTTCTTCAGTAGCTCATGCGTTTTAACGCTTTTAAGAAAACAAGACAGAAATCACCCAGGTCCCCTTTTAGTTTTCCTGCCCTGAATCCCGAGCTCTGTATCGGTCAGCCCAGTTTTTTCTTCCCTCTTCCTTTCACACTCCGAACTACACACACACGACACCACCCACCTCCAATCAGAACAAGTATTTGGTGAATATAAAGAGCCGATAATTATGATGGAAGGTTGTCTGGGTGTTGTTTTCAGTGTCCCCCGCAAGATGAGAGCAGCCCGCTTCTGGAATTCTGTCTCAGTTCCACCCATCTCACACCCACACCAGCTTCACACGGCGTTGTTCTCTCCTCAGGGCCCCGGCATGGCAAGGAAGTTCTCCGCACCTGGTCAGCTGTGCGTCTCCATGACCTCAACCCTGGGTGGCTCCGCCCCCATCTCTGCAGCATCAGCTACCTCTCTAGGCCACTTCCCCAAGCCCATGTGCCCCCCACAGCAGTACGGTTTCCCACCCCCCCCCTTTGGCACGCAGTGGAGTGGCACGGGCGGCCCAGCAACACAGCCACTTAGCCAGTTCCAACCTGTGGGGACTGCTTCCTTGCAGAACTTCAACATCAGCACCTTGCAGAAGTCCATCAGCAACCCTCCAGGTTCCAACCTGAGGACCACGTAGACCTGGAGGCACTGACGGGGTAGATGTGGGGGCAGGAGGGGGGATGGCGAGGGGCAGGTGGAGGGGGTGGGAAAGCAGTCTACCTACTAACTGCTAGCGCTGCATTTCACTGGTTATTTCTTGCCAGACAGGAATGTGTTTAATACCGCTTAGAGCCCTCAGAGTGGAGAATCTCCCTGTGCTTTCACCATTTATTGGAGTGGGATGAGAAGGAAAGAAAGAGGTTTCTTGTGTATGCTTTGTTATCTCTCCCCAGCAGTGAGCGCTCGGAAAGAGAATCGTGTTGATTAGAAAGCTTCTAGAGAGCTCAGTGGAAAAGCAAAGGCCATCTGTGTTCTCAAGTAGTGGGGCTCTTAATCTTGGTACCCACCGCAAGTCCCTTATCCCCTCAAGAACATAAACCACAAGACAAAAAATTAAACTATTGGGCTCTCTCCTACCCTGTCCCCACCCCAGCCAATCTTTAGAACCCAGTGAAAACACCAGGGGACGGAGGTTTCAACCCTTTCTTACGATAGGTCATTAGTGCTTTAAGCAAATGATATTCGCAGCTTTGACTGCAGCATTAGGCATTAGGAAAAAAAAATTAAGTTCCCTGCGGACATGTAACTTTGCCATCAGTTTTGATGTGGAAACACTGTGATATATAAATGTTGTTGGACAACAGTAGTTTTAAAAGTAAGATATGAAAGGTTTAAAAAGTTGAAAAAAGCTAGCTCTGTCCTTTACCTATTGAGACTTTACTTTCTCCTTTGTATTTCCATTGTATTAGATAAATAAATGTGAATGTAAAATTGTATAAATTACTGTACTTGAATACTTCTGTTCTCCCAGTATTGCTTGCTGGATGTTTTAGTGCCTTGGACTTCTATTGCTTCTGCCGTTAACATCAACTTCTCATCAGACCCCAGTCAGCAAAAGGGCGTATGGAAGGAAACCTTGGGTCCATAGGACCCAGCAGTGGATTATGCAATAAGGAAATTGAAGGAGTATTTTTTTTCAAGTCATTCAACAATTTTGTCTAGAGCAGGTGTAAGATGAGCAGGTGAGAAGTTGACAGTAGTGGTTAAAAGCAGAAAACTGTTTCAGGACAGGTGAGGAGGGGTGTTGTCACAAAATCGGGCAGTTTACAAGATTGAGCGTGGTATGCGATAAGTGATGAAAGAAAAAGGAAGACTACGTACGGGATGGGAGAACAGACTTGTTTTGAAGATCGGTGATGCTTGGCCAGTGGCTGCCATAAGCCTTATTTACCTGAGCTGGGCTTGAGCAGAGGAGACCTGGAAGAAATGGCTGAATAGAAAGGGAAGGGCACGGGGTGGGGTTGGGGGGGGGGGCGCTAGTTTTTAAGCTGGGAAATGTGATAGTGAAATGTCACAGATGGAGAAAGTTGTTCTAAGAAAAAAAGATCGGTGATGCTTGGCCAGTGGCTGCCATAAGCCTTATTTACCTGAGCTGGGCTTGAGCAGAGGAGACCTGGAAGAAATGGCTGAATAGAAAGGGAAGGGCACGGGGTGGGGTTGGGGGGGGGGGCGCTAGTTTTTAAGCTGGGAAATGTGATAGTGAAATGTCACAGATGGAGAAAGTTGTTCTAAGAAAAATCATTTGGATTGCTTCCCTCTTGGTGCAAATGTCCCGTGTATTTCTCAGCTTGGGGTACTGTAGTTTGTGGAAAGTGGACCCACATCTGAATTAAGCATTGTAGGAAAGAATGCTTATTCCTACCCACTTCCTATATAATGTCCAGATGGTTGCAGGATCATAATCGCTTGCGCCACCTTATTTCTAGAATTAACAGCTGATATTCTCACGTTCTCTGTAAACAGATATTCCCCTGAAGTTAATAAACTGCAACCAACCAGTATTATTTAGTGCTGTGCCTAGTTGTAATGGGCAGTTCTGTTACTTTCAGAGCTTTCGGGAAATACTCTCCTCATTGCCTGAGTTTGGGATCTCTGTTCTCCCAGAAGGTGGGGAAAGAAGCCAGGACTTAATTTTGGGGTGCTTCTTGTCTTGACTCTTGAACTGGGAAACCTATTCCAACCTCTTACCCACCTCAGTGGCACATCCCAGGAATCCCCATGACAGGAAGAGCCATGGCTGTCCTGTCCTCCGTTGGTCATTTTCTTTATTAAGTTAGCCGAGACCCCAAAGATGCAAATGAGAGCTGAAGGTTGTAGGAAGGTAGAAATGAAAAGGGCAGGCGTTCCAAGCTTTGCTTCGAAACTGTTTACTTACTTTTTCTCTGCTTATAATCCTCGGGAGATGACAAGAGTAAGAACAGAACAAGAAGCGCCAAGGAGGTGGGGAACGGACCCCTGGGCAAGGAGGCAGGGCTTTGCAGCAGAGGAAAGAGGAGCCAGAGTGCAGCACGTGACTATTTTCTTTGGTTTAATCATTTTGAGATCTCTTCACTCACAGGTGGAAAGAACTGCTTTTATTTACTGTTGATTTTTTTCCCCCTCCTGTGGATGAAATAACTGAAGCCTAGAGGAATGAACCTAGTGCTACTGAACTGTTTAAATTATTTTTGTGTTAATAGTACACTTTGAGTATCTTTTTCCACATTAAAAAAATTCTTTCTGAATTATAAATGTTTTCCTTACATTATTTAACAATGTACACTGTTTAAGAAAACAGACTAAATTCAAACCTTGGGGATTGTTGGCAGTCCGTCAACCTGTGCGTTTGGGATAAACCCCAGGGGGTCGCGCTTTCTGCTTCCGTTTGTTACCTTTGTAGATGAAACCATTCAAATAAACCAAACTTGCTTTTCTTGAGCTGTGGGGTTTCATTTTCAGCACATGTCTTTTTCTTGATCTCATTAGCTCTGATTTGACTTGTGTGCAATTTATAACTGGATTCCTAGCTCCAGGACCTTTTTTTTAAACAGCAGTTCTGACCTGAACTAAGATGCTGCAGACAAGCAAGATATATTTTCTGAAGACCATGGTAAGGATATGAAAATCAGAAGATGAACCTATGCCCAAAGCTGTGCAGCTCAGGTGAGGTGGAGGGAGGTCAGGGAAAGCCCCATGCTCGTCTTCCAGAGGCGCGGCGGTGGCCTAGGGGCACAGCTTCCCAGATGGGCCTGTGCTCCAACAAACTCAAGACTGGGTACAAGGCCCAACCCAAAATGCCCTTAAAAAGTAAAACTGCACACTCATTAGTTGGGGGAAAGGACGGTGAAACATCTAAACACTAAAAGAATTTATGTTAAGGTGGGTGATAATCGCACATCCGAAATAGCTAAACAGCTGCTTATGTCACGCAGATCTTTGTGGTTTTCCAGTACATATAAACGTTGTTTACACTATAGCCTGTTATGTCTGCAACAGCATTATATCTAAAACAATATATACCTTTTTTTTAAGAATATATTTTTAAAGAATATTTATTTACTTGGCTGCACCGGGTCTTAGTGGTGGCATGCAGGATCTAGTTCCCTGGCCATGGATCGAACCCGGGACCCCTGCCTTGGGAGTGTGGAGTCTTAGCCACTGGACCACCAGGGAAGTCCCTAAGACAATATATACTTTAAAATGCTGTTGGGAAAATGCTCAACACAGGATTGCCAAAAACCTTCAATTTGTTTGTTTGTTTAAAGAAAAAAAAAATCTGCGAAGTGCCATAAAAAGAAAGGTATGCCTGTTATTTTGTTACAAAGTAGGATTTTATTTTGCTTTCTTAAAATGCCTTTTCTCTGGTCTTAGATTATTTCCTTATTAGGAAAAAATGGAGGTAGTTTCATGATGAGCCTATTAAGTGACTGACTGACTGACAGATGATTGTCGTAGATGAGTGGCAGCAACAGGGGTCAGAGGTCACAGTGACATACCGCAGGCCGCTGTCGAGGTTGGTGCGTGGGGAAAGTGGCCACTGTGATTCCTAGAATTTCTGCCTTTATTAACATGAAAGCTTAGGAATAAATAGTGAAGAGCCAAGGTGCACAAGTTTAATCTCCGCAGGGCTTCCCAACCTGCCCAGCTTGATCTGTGTCAGGTTCCAATAGTGAAATCCTCTGGCGAAGTTCAGCGTGAAGCAAGGTAAATCCCCGGAGGTCAAGCTCATTCCCTAGGAACGATGAGTCATTTCATGACCAACAAGCAGTTTTTGAAAGTCCCTTTGTGACAGAATCCAGTGAGGTGAACGAGCCTTGGTCAAGATGGATCCAATTTCCTTTTCTTTGTGTCCTGGTTCTTCCTATATGAATCATAGTCTCCTATGGAAGAGAAAATTGTTCACATACAGCTGCCATGATTTAAAAATAAGGAATAAACTGACAGCTAATAACTTTTGAATCGTATTAACTGTCGTACTTTAAACTAAAGGCCAAGAATGAAAATTGTTATGAGGGGGACATGTCCCTCTGTTAACACTAGACCAAGCTGCAGTAGAGGTCATGACAGGCCTGCTTTGCCTGCTTTTAAGAGGAAAGCTCTTAATGCAGCCATGCTTCAGTGTCCCACTTCTATCAATCAGCTAGAAAGAGCTGCACCTCAGGTCAGGACTCCAAGGAAGACTTGCGACTCTTAATCCAATTAGTTACACTCCATTTTCTTAGACTGCTACTGGTCTGGCATGAGTCCCCTCCAACTTCTTAAAATGGAATGTCATTCTTTCTTTAAGATTCATAGAATTATATATACCCAGGTTCTCCCTTCCATTTCTGCTCCTAAAACACTTTGCTACCTGTTATGTGTTGGTTAAGGTTGTAAGTTTGAAGGTGCCAGGGTCCAGATTTTGCCTGTGGATTCTGGTGGCAAAGGCTCTGTGGGGTCCTGTTCCAGGTCTCCATCTCATTCTGCAGGACGGAGGTGGCAGCGGCCTGTGGCGGTTCTGGTTTAGACAAGGGCTTGACCACACTGTCCCCTGCATCTAGAGCCATGTCCCACATTTCAAGACTGTCTGCAAGGACAGAGGTCACAAGCAAATGCAGCATCAACAAACGAGGTGCTGGAAAAATAACAGGTCGTGAGAAATGCCGTATCATGAGTGCTCTATACAATGGTGTTTGGAATTTCTCTTTCCCCAACCCATGAAAGTACACCAGAGCCTCTCGCAGGTCCGGACAGTAGAGGACCTGCATATGTGCCATCAGTCAGCACTTTCTACAAAACCATTGGAAATGAAGATATTTTATGCCTCTTTTGAAATGTATTTGTGACGACGGAAAGTATGCAGCACAGTGACTTACAGACACTTGATAGGTATTTACTGATTAGGACTGAAGCCATTCCTTTAGCCCTCCTGACCTGGAAGCACGTCTGTCTGGGTGAGCCGCTCTGAAGCAGCAGTTCCGGCAGGTGGCACTGGTGGCAGCGCTGCTGCAGAGAAAGGACAAAACCACGTAACCAAGCTGGGCCAGGGGAGGCCTTGGAAGTGCGTGCAAAGCCGCCTGGGGTTACACTTGTCGGCGTGGCCGGCAGAACTCGGGACCCTGCATCCTGGTCCTACCTACAGATCTATATAAAATAGGACTGACGATACTATATTCTTTCTTCTCATCAAACGGCGAAAAAAAACCTGAGAAGTTTGTTTCTCCTTTAGCAGAAACGGAAGAGTTATTGTAAGCCGTTTTGTCCAGTTCTTACTATTTGAAGCTATAACCCTTGTTCAAACAAAATCTTAAGCAGAAATGAATATGTAAAACCAAGATGATGACTCTGTGATTCGGGGTGGGGGAGGTCCTGGAGATGACTCCTCCTCCACCCCTGACCCCCCAGAGCTTCTGCAATGGTTTGGAAGCTGAAGATCTAGAATAATAATTCTTATTAAGAACGTCCCCAGCACAGTATGTTTTTTGGGTTTCTTTCCCCCTACATTAACCTCAGCCTGCCACTAGTGCAGAGGGGAATTATAAAGAACTAAACGTGAAGCAAGTCCTCGGAAACCTCTTCATAATTTTTAGGGAGAAGCTAGGCAAAAATCCACTTGGTCTTTCTTTGTTTCTAGTCTCTGAGAAAGACTCCAAGAAAATCTGCATCTACTACTCCCACTGAACCTGGACTCTGAAATAAAATCAGGGATAAAGAATTGCCAAAAACCCATTCTCTTCAAACCCAACTTTGCTTTATGTTCAGAGACAGCTCAGGGGCTTCCCCTGCTGGTGCAGTGGTTAAGAATCCACCTGCCAGTGGAAGGGACATGGGTTCAAGCCCAGTCCGGGAAGATCCCATGTGCCACAGAGCAACAATGCCCGTGCGCCACAACTACTGAGCCTGCACTCTAGAGCCCGTGAGCCACAACTACTCAGCCCACATGCCACAACTACTGAAGCCCGTGCTCTGCAACAAGAGAAGCCACTGCAATGAGCCCGCACACCGCAACGAAGAGTAGCCGCTGGTCGCCACAACTAGAGAAAGCCCCCGTGCACAGCAACAAAGACCCAACACAGCCAAAAGTTAAAAAAATAAGTAAATAATTTAAAAAAAAAAAAAGCTCAGAAAGGCTTTCTCGTGTACACGTGGCCAAAGTAACTGAGGCGAAAAAAGCTCTGTCCCCTGAGACAAATAGTTCCAGGTTATGTCAGGGCCTGTCTCCTTCGCCCAAAAGACCAGTGTCTTCCTTCAGTCGCGGGGAACGGTGAGGCAGGACGTGACGGTTTGAGCCCGTGGCCGCCTCTGTGCTGTGTGTGGACCCGACCTGCTGCAGAGTGGGGAGAGCAGTCGCCCCCAGACCCCGTGCTCTGTCCTCTCACCGGGACCCTGCTTCTTGGCAGGTGGGCCAGATGGGGGTTCCTGCTGCTGTTTCTCCATCTGCTCCCGGAACCGCTGCTGCAGCTGTCTTTGCCGGAGCTTCCGCTGATATGTGGCATCGCTCTCGCTCTCTGTGGCAGCGGAGGTCGGGCTTCTGCATCAGGAGAGCGACAGGGAGGTGAGCTCCTTTGTTAACTGGTGAGCAGCAACACACAGTTCCCAAGGGAGCACACGGGCCAGCCAGTGTGCTGGCTCTGAAGTGAAGGCAGGAGTGGGAGGCAGGGGGAGACACCTGGGAAGGAGCAGGGGCGGGGAGGGCACGCGGCCCGCACCCGGAGCTGCTGTTCTCGTCCCCTGCATCACAACGTGGTGGCTTGGTCTGCAAGGGGACGTCACCTCCTGTGGTATGGGGGGTCCCAGAGTCAGGTTCTGTCGGCAGCTGCTATATCTGGCTTGTTCCACAGATGGTTCAAAGTCTTGTCTCTTTGCTTTAGTCAAGTCCACTTCAAGAGGCAGCTAATAGGGGAAAGGGGAGAAAACTTCTTCCAACTGCCCTTCGCCTTCCTCAAGGATCTATAGATACCTGAAAAATGGCATTTCACGATCCTCTATCCATCATTCCTTCTAGGCCCTAAGAAGCTGGGACAAGGGATCCATAAGTTCAAGTCATTTTAATTATATGAGGAATAAAACAATTTCATTTTCCACCTATGCCATTATGTATTAATGAGGTTTTGATAAGGAATCATACTTCAGTTTTTATTGAGGGCAAATGCTCTGTAAAATCTAATTTGAATCTTTTCTCGGCAACCAGATCTGATGCTGTCTACTTTTTTTTTTAATGGAAATGATCACACATCATCACACTACAGAAACCCAGAGATTTTTCACTTGGGAGAACTTCTCTCTCAATTAATAATATGATGCTGATAGAATAAAGGAATATGAGGGATTGAGATGACTACATTTTTGATAAAAACATGAAAATGAAAATTATACTGTGAGATTTCGTACTGACATTGAGAAGTAAACAACTTAAACAGGGCTTCCCTGGTGGCGCAGTGGTTGAGAGTCCGCCTGCCGATGCAGGGGACACGGGTTCGTGACCTGGTCCGGGAAGATACCACATGCCGCGGAGCGGCTGGGCCCGTGAGCCATGGCCGCTGAGCCTGTGTGTCCGGAGCCTGTGCTCCGCAACGGGAGAGGCCACAACAGTGAGAGGCCCGTGTACCGCAAAAAAAAAAAAAAAAAAAAAAAAAAAAAAGTTAAACAGAAATGAGCTTATGCGGGGAGTTCCCTGGTGGCCTAGTGGTTAGGATTCTGGGCTTTCATTGCCGTGGCCAGGTTCATTCAATCCCTGGCCAGGGAACTGAGATCATCCTGCAAGCTGCATGGCACTGCCAAAAAAGAAACAAAAAAAAGAGAAATGAGTTTATGCTACGACATGGATGAACCTTGAGGACATTCTGCTCAGTGAAACAGGCCAGTCACAAAAGGACAGACAAGAGATGACTCCACTGACATGAGGCCCTTAGAGTAGCCAGACCAAAGCAGATGGTGCCCAGGGCTGTGTGGAGAGGGGTGCTGGCGTCATGTTTAATGGGTCTAGAGTTTCAGTTAGAAAAGAGCTACAGAGATGGATGGTGGTGATGAGTATCCCACATTATGAATGTATTTAGTACCCCTGAACTGTACCCTTACAATGTCTAAGATGGTACATTGTGTTATGTATGTTTTACCACAATAAAAGAAATTGGGGGAAAAGATGAGCACTGAAAAAAATTTTGAAAGACTGACGATGCTAAGTGCTATTGAATGTATAGAATAATTGGAACTCATACACTGCCAGGTGGGAGTGTGAGGTGGTACAACCATACTGGAAACTGGAAGAATCTACCAGAACGAGGCATATGCCCAGCCCTCTGAGCTGACCCAGTAGTTCCCAAGGTAAATGGGTGAGTATGTGCACCAAGAGGTGCACAGGAACGCTAACAGCAGCCCTGTATTCAAAACAACCAAAGGCTATGAAAACCTCAAATGTCTATCAAGTCAGGGTGGCAAAGTCAACCGTGGTAGACTCATGCAACAGAGAAGATACAGCGGTGAAAATGCTACTACATGCAATAAGGATGAATCTTGTGCACACATGTGGAATGAAAGCCAGACACAAAACAGTTATACTATTTGATCCCCAAAAGTACAGAACAGTCAACACTAACCTATGTTGTCAAAAGTGGTTTTCCTCGGTAATGATGAGAAGGGAAGGGATTGGCGGTAACTGCAAGGGACACACAATTGAGACATTCTGGGACACGGGGATGCTCCACAGTGACTCAGATGCTGGTTATGTGGGTGTGTCTGGTCTTAGAATTCATCAAGCTGAACATTTATGATGTGTGCAGTGTCTGCATGTCTATATGTACTTTTTAATACTTCAGTCGCTTTTTATAAAGCATAAACTGTACAATCCCATTATATAAAGTTCAAAAACAGGAATAAATCTGAGACTAGAAGTCAACTGTAGTTACTTTTGAAAAGATAAAATCAAGGTAGTGAATGGGAGGGGGCAAAATGGGGTCCTGGAGTGCTGATAATATTCTGTTTCCCTGTCTGGTTTGTAAATAGCTGTGTTCACTTCTAAAAATTCATCAGGCTGTGCCATTATGATGTATGCAGTTTTCTGTATATATGTTGCACTTTGTTTAAAAAATTCATTAAAAGAATAAAGTGACAAAGAAATGGAGAGTGACGTCAGCACACGGCAGACCAGAAGCTCCAAGTCTCTCTCACAGAGACACCAAGCTGACAGCAGTACACAGACCAGATACCTCTGTAAGAACCCCAGTGGCCAGGTGAGAGGCTACAGCACTCAGGCCAACATAAAACCAAGACAAGATTCCAACAAATGAGGGAGCAAAGTTCACGGCATTCTGCATGCCTGCCCGCCCATGGCCATGCCCCTGCCCCTGTCTGGCATACAGCAGTACAAGCAGAGGAAACCTCCCACACTGGGGCTCTTCCCTCTGGATGGAAACAAAAGAGTGGACCGTGCATCTGAACTTATGGGGGCTTGTCAGGAGGCTGCCCAAGGCACTGGTTTCTGTCTCACCTGAAGAAGTGCTGACAGAATCAGGAGCAGAGTTTGAAAGTCACTAAAAAAAGAGGTGAGCACCACAGAACGTAAGAGCTGCGGTTCTGCAGTCAGATGCCAGAAGGAGCAGGAGACTGTAAAAGACCTGAGAGGTCCTAGAACCTCCAGCTGGGCTGACTGGCACAGATCTTCCCCTGCACAAAGACAGTACAGAAAGACTGGGAGAGGTGGTGGTTTTTTCAAATGCCCAAATCTCAGCAAAAGATCACATATAAAGAAACAGACATGGCCCAATCAAAGGAACAAAATGTAACTCAAAAAACTGACCCTGAAGAAATGAAGAGAGCTATGAGCTGCCTGACAGAGGAACTAAAATAACTCAAGGATGCTCAATGAACTAGGAGATCACAGATAGACAGCTCGATGAAATCAGGAAAATGATGATGTATATACAAAATGAGAGTATCAACAAAGAGAAATGACAACAAAGAAGCAAGCAAATTCTGGAGCTGAAAAATTCACTAGAGGCATGCTACAGCGGACGTGATCAGGCAGAAGAAAGAATCAGCCAACTTGAAGACAGGTCATTTGAAATCATCTACTCAGAGAAGCAAAAAGAAGAATGAAGAAAAATGAGAGCTTAAAGGACTTATAAGGGCACTGTCAGGCTGCATATTTTAAAAGTCTTAGGAGAAGAGAGATTACTGGTGAAAAACGTCAAAAATCTGAGGAAAGAAAAGATGTATAAATTGAAGAAGATCAAAGAACTACATCTAGGATGAGCCCAGAGAACGAGCACGTTGTATTCAAAATGTCAACAGTCAAAGACAGTGCAACAATGAACTATCAGAGAAATTAAGAAAACAATCCTATTTACAATTGCATCGAAAAGAAACACCTGGGAATAAATTTAACCAAAGAGATGGAAGACCTGTACTCAGAAAACTAGAAGACACTGATAAAAGAAAGAGGTGGATACAAATACATGGAAAGATATTCCATACTCATGAATTGCAAGGATCAATATTATGAAAACGTCTACACCCAAAGCAATCTACAAATTCAACACAATCCATATCAAAATTCCAAAGGCATTTTTCACACAAATAGAACAAACAATCCTAAAATTTGTATGGAAGCACAAAAGACCCTGAATAACCAAAGCCATCCTGAGAAAGAAGAACCAAGCTGGAGGCATCACACCTCCTGATTTCAAACTACCTTACAAAGCTCTAGTAATTAACAGAATGGTATTGGCACAAAAACATAGATCAACGGAACAGAATAGAGAGCCCAGAAATAAACCCACCCATACATACGTGGTCAATTAATTTATGACAAAGGAGCCAAAAATATACAATGGGGAAATGACAGTCTATTCAACAAAACTGTAAGAAACTGGAGAGTAGGGACTTCCCTGGTGGCGCAGTGGTTAAGAATCCACCTGCCAATGCAGGGGCACGGCTTCGAGCCCTGGTCCGGGAAGATCCCACATGCTGCAGAACAACTAAGCCCGTGCGCCACAACTACTGAGCCTGCGCTCTAGAGCCTGTGAGCCACAACTACTGAGCCTGCATGCCACGCCTACTGAAGCCCATGAGCCTAGAGCCCATGCTCTGCAACAAGAGAAGCCACTGCAATGAGAAGCCCACGCACCGCAACAAAGAGTAGCCCCCGCTCGCTGCAACTAGAGACAGCCTGTGCGCAGCAACAAAGACCCAACACAGCCAAAAATAAATAAATTTATTAAAACAAAAACAAAAGAACTGGACAGTCATGTGCAAAAGAATTAAACTGGACCACTTACACCATACACAAAAATTAACACTGGATTAAAGACCTGAAACCATAAAACTCCTAGGAGAAAACATAGGCAGTAAGCTCCTTGACATTGGTCTTGATGGTAATTTTTCTGTATTTGACACCAAGAAGTGAAAACAACAAAAGCAAAAATAAGTGGGACTATATCAAACTAAAAAGCTTCTGACAGCAAAGGAAACAATTAACAAAGTGAAAAGGCAACCTACTGAATGGGAGAAAAAGTCTGCAAATGATATAACTGATAAAGCATTAACACTCAAAACATATAAAGAACTCATACAACTCAAAAGCAAAATCAAACCAAACCAAAACAATCCAATTAAGAAATGGGCAGGGGGCTTCCCTGGTGGCGCAGTGGTTGAGAGTCCGCCTGCCGATGCAGGGGACACGGGTTCGTGCCCCGGTCCGGGAGAATCCCACATGCCGCGGAGCGGCTGGGCCAGTGAGCCATGGCCGCTGAGCCTGCACGTCCGGAGCCTGTGCTCCGCAACGGGAGAGGCCACAACAGTGAGAGGCCCACATACGGCAAAAAAAAAAAAAAAAAAAAAGAAATGGGCAGAAGATCTGAATAGATATTCTTTCAAAGAAGACATACAGATGCCCA